CTCTCTCTCTCTCCCTCTCGACGAGATTAATTTGGAGTTTGTGGAGTTTCACTGCCGAAGCCTATCCCGGCACCCAGGATGCCGATACAGCGTGGTAGTTATTGGCAAGCTTTCACAGGGAAGGTACCATGTATATACATACGTATACATATATATATATGCATGCATGCACGGTAGCCATGTGTATGCTGCCGAGCTTTGGAGCCTTCAAATATCAGAACCAGGCCGCAAGAGTGAGAGCGGCTCCTTGCGCGATGGCTTGGAGTCCGTTGGGCACACGCCGCTGAGGGAAGAGGTGGGTTTATCTTTGTGGGATTCTGGATGCAGGGCTGAGTGCCAGCTCCACGCTTCTCAGCACTGGGACGAATAAGATTTGGAAGACATGCCATGGCTTTGAGCGTGTTTTTTTGGACGGCGCAGCTAAACTCCTGAAGCCAAGATCAACCTGCAGCCTAGCACAATACTTACTTCTTTAGCTCGGAACTAGTTGAAAACTACTCCAATTCCCNNNGTCAAGGTCATTCTTGCAATTTTTACATAAATCGTAACCGTTATGTAAATTATAGCAAACAGTGAAGTCGACAAATCTAGACCTAAACACCTTGAAATCTAACAGGCCCTAAACCCTGCAAGCCCAAAATTGTAAACAGGCATGGCTTCAACCTTAAATTCCATATCTCCAACACTCGTTCCACGAAGCCTAATCCCAAGCCTGATCCTTAATCCCTGAAGCCGAACCCTAAAAGATATAAAGGTCCAGGCTCTTACCGATCAGATGGATTTTGAGCGAGACCTCCACGACCGCCGGCGCGCCCTGCACGGGGCCCAAGACTAGCCGTGTTGCGGTGTAGGATCTCGAAAGGCTTCGGACTTTAGGGACTCAAAGATGATTCACCGCTGTTTCGACGGTCTTAGATAGACGATCTGACCCTGCTTTACGGATTTAGCCCTTTTTGCGTTTTCCCCGGCAGCGCCCTGACCCGTCCGCCCTGGGGTTAGGCCGGTTAGGCACCTGCGGAGCCTGCATTGGCGATTGAAAGACTGCCGGCAGTTCCAAGTAAAAGATCTGCGTTCTGGGTTTTTGCTTGGTTTCTGGGTCCGCTCGAGAGCCCGCAGCCTAAATTGAAAACGCTGGCGTTGCCTCTTCCTCGGCTTTTGAAGGGAGATGCTGGGTGAGCTACGCGGGAAGGGAACCTAAGGTTTGGGATCTTGTTTCTCTGAGACGCCATGTCTGGCTAGAGCTTCTAGCATGTATATATCATGATATGTCCACTTCTGCTTGTCGCCGAGTCCAAGAATTCCGATAGGTTGTTGTTTCAGGTCTCTTTGTGCCGCCGAGTGGCCTCTAATCATCGGCAAAGTCATGGACCCAAGTTATCCTTTCACAGGGCTTACTTCGATAGGTAGTTTAGAGGCCTGGTTAACGAACTAATTACTTCCGTTACTTTAGTTATTCAGAGTTACAGACTACAGCTGATAGTTGGAACGATACTAAACCCGAAACCCCAAATAGACCCAGTGATGGAATGCAGCGTTTGGGTCACCGCAAGGTGTTTTTCGCCTTGGGAGCGAACTTCATGAGTCTTGAGGGGATTTGGGTTGTATATATAGGGCCTAAGTTAGTAAGCTGTCACGTTGCTATAGTTCGATAGTGCAAGTCTAAGGTTTTCGTTGGGGCTGTGCAGTTGGCTATAGTTGGCTCATCGCTTCGAAGTCTTTCAAGGCTGATGTCTTGATTGTATGGCTTATGAAATAGAGCAGCAGCGGTTTGACACGACGCAGACTTTTCTGTCCCGACGCTAGCGCAGCGACATTTAAGGAGATCATTATAACCATAAGCTATCGTTCCAGCCGAACTTTAACCCGAGGTTGGAGCGTTACAGCTCCCCAGAGAAGGCAGCCGCCACGGCTGTCACGGAGGCGAGGCTACGAAAAGAATTCGGTTCCTGAAACCCTACAATACCCCTTTACACGAGTTGGGTGCGTTGCTTCTTTTGGAGAGGTGGGCTTAGTCGTTCGGTTTTGGATCTTTGGAGAGCAGCTCCCCTCCAAAGCTTTCCACGCTTGGGTGGCATAGTCCTGGTCTTGCGCTGCGCGAGACACTGCCTGATGCCGGATGATTTGAGAGCAATGAAGGATCCGTGACGACGACAACAGATCATCCAATAGGAGGTTTCCGGCGAGATGCTTTGTGTACCTTCCTGTGGGTCATAGCAAGCATGCCAGCGCAAACTTCCGCCAGGTACTGTTATGGCTTTTTTGCACTTGGGTTGTTCTGCAAGCAGACAGCAGGGCAGCTCGGGCTCAAGAATTTCCCGCTTCTTATATCATCGCTAAAGAACAGATCCGCTGTGCTTGCGAACCCATGCTCTCGCAAAGCCAGCTTGACGGAATGCAGCTCAAGTCCAAATTCACTTTCATCGACGTCGTGGAGCAGTCGCCGAGTCTCAGGCGTCACGCGAGCATGCCGGCAATGTCGACACATCACGTGAGCGTGGTTCAGTGCGAGAACGATTACTTGGCAGGGCTCCTGGAGGAGGCCCGGATCCTTCTCCCCATCCCGCACCGAGCTCTGACGGCCAACACGGCTGGGATCGCCTCTACCCCAATGCCAGCCCCGGAAGACCTTGACGTGGCTTGCGACCAAGACTCAGATGTAGCCGGAAGCCTCGGGCATCCCCATTTCTGCCGCCGCCCTTGTCTCTTATTGGCTTTGGGCCAGTGCCGAAATGGAGTGGCTTGCAAGTACTGCCATCATGCCCACGACAACGAGAAGCAGCAGTCATTTTCGAAGCACATTCGTGAGAGGATCAACCGCATGAAGGGATCGGCGAAGTTGTGGTTGCTTCGTGATAGCTTGCTCCAAAAGGTGCGGAAAGTTCCGGAGTTAGCTTCACAAGTCACGGGGCTTGTGGACATCATCGAGGAAGGGCTACCTCATGAAGCCTCAGAAGCGTCAGAATCCAGAGGCTCATCACGACTTCACGAGAAGCTCGCTGTCATGTCTGTGGCAGCCATGCTGGGTGACTTAGCAGTTCAGTTCGCAAATGCTCTGGTAAACCAAAGAAGGTTAGACACTGCATGAATGGCAAATAGTGCTGGGATTGAGGCCATCGAATTTCCAACTGTTGGGCTTCATACATGTCTTCTCTTTGGAAAAATTTCGATTCAAGCTGGAAGTTTCCTCAATTTTCCTCCGTTCTGGCACTAGTATGCACTAGTCACTAGACGAAGTCCTGCAAAACAGAAGCTCTAAGCCATAAACTCCGAACTTAAGGTGACATGTTCACCCGGAACATTGAGCCGGACATTCGGCGCCGCTTACAGGAAGAGCTACGACGTCTCCGCATCGAAGCCTGCTTTGAAGCTTGAGCATGCAAGAACTCGGGGTATGGGAGTTGGGGTTTAAATGGTTCATACGGTTTGGGAGTTTAAGGCATGCCAGAGTTGTGTGTAGTGGATTGCGCAGAGTTGTAGGCACTGCACACGAGTTGCAGCAAGAGGCGTGCAGACGCCTGCTGAGGTTTTTTAAGCCGTCGCATTGTTTCAATCCTTACCGTTCGCGAAGGTTTCGGGGTGTAGGGTTCAAACCGAACCTAAACCCCCAATTATCTAATATGAGAGCACCCGCCACGTGCCTTGAGTTTTGCGCCGGTCGAGGGCCTTCCTTCAGTTGACCTGCCATAACCATGGACATGTCGTGGGTGCTTGGCAAAATGCCGGAAGGCCTTTTCGCGTAGCTTCGAATGCACATGCACGGCAGCTTCTGACTGTTTGAAATGTGTTTGCAGAGTGTTGGAAGCAACCGTTGGGGATCAAATCGCCGCACGTAGGACCCGTTGTGATTCACAGGGAAAGTCCTGTGTCTTCAGAGCTTCGCGACTTTATGAAGCTTTTTGCTCAGCGTCAGTGGGGCCAGTGCCGCCGCCTGGTCATCACATTTCAAGCACGTCAAAGTGCATTCACAGGCAGGGGAGCTCTGCGGCGCATTTCAAGCTTCCAGACTGCTGCGCCTTGAGGAGAAATGTAGCCGTTTGCACCGGCCTCGCCATGAAACCATCCTGATTCACTTCACGGCGACGATGCCGAGTCTCAGCATTTAGACGGCGTGCATGACGAGCCATTTCTTGCGTGGGCTGGTTCTGCCAGTCTTGTCAGTTTCATCACAACACTGTAGTAGGACTAGTACGATTCTATCCACATCACGGTACCAGCGCGATTGTTCAGTTCTGCTTGCAAGCGGAGCACTTGCGAACCCATGTTGCCATTGTGCTGCCTAGACCGTCATGGCACTTGGTTGACCCACTGAGTCTGCACAGCAAGGGATTGCAGATTCTTTATCCAGATAAAGTCTGCACGGCAAGGGATTGCAGATTCTTTATCCAGAAAATCTCACGAACGTGTTGAGCTTGCGTCACCGGGGCAGTTTCTAGACTATGTAGCTGTAGGAAGAGAGTAACTCTTGTTTGTCGTGGTTGCAGTGTAAGTCAGTGAACTGCCATGACGTTATGTGGTGGTGGTGTCTGCACGTGTCTTCTGGGTTTACAGAGTTTGCCTAATTGCTATTGTTTAAATACATGCTGGCAAGACCCGGGACCCCTGAAACAAACAGTTGTTGTGATCAGTTCGACCAATAGTGTTGCAACTGTGGTGCAGCTGCCGCCAGGATGGACGTGCGATCATCGTGGAGATGGCTGCGAGGCAGCAGTGCTCGAAAGGTCTTCGTTCTGAGACCGCACGGGGTTTGGCCTGGACCTCTGGACGCCATCCCCGCAACAGTAGCCCCAGACCTACACTCCTGACTTCCAAACCCAAAAGCCCCAAAGTCCCCAGTTACCTTGCCCAAACAAGTACAGGAAGACCTTCAGCACGGGTACCTTTGCTAAATCCGGACTGGCAGGGCTGAAGGCCCGGCGCAGTCTCCTCGAAGTGTTGCGTCCGAAGATGAGGAAGCCGGGTGGGCTTGGGATTAAGGGGTTCGCAGAACTTTTGTCGGTAGGGTTTCGAGAAGTATCGGTCGATGCCGCAGGATGATTGCATCGCGATGTCCCTGTGGCACGGCATACAGGTGCTGAACTGAAAGTACCCCATATGAGGCATGCTGAAAGCCCCATATGATCTCTGCCTTCTTGCATGTTTCGTGGCTGTCGATTTAGAAACCTTGCCCCTGGAATCCCAGCTTGCCAGACATGGAGAGGAAGAGGGTCGTGGGAGGGACGTAAAGATTCTCGTTTGTGCTTAACGTTCGTTTTAGATGGCTTTCCCAAAGAGCGGGGGGGGGGGGGGGGCGATCATTCCAGCACCGACAAAGCTTGCCAGAGTCCGTACACTGCGCCTGCGCGCGAGAGCCCCAACACAACAGGCTTGTAAACCCTCAACAGCGCTCTTAGCTTTGTTGGTGCTGACGTGCGGGGATCCAAGATGCACAGTGGAGGCCGAAATCCATTTTTGTGGAGCTCGAACGGAATCTTCATAATTTTGAATGCTTTTATCCGGCAGTCGCAATGGAACGTTTGCAGGCTCATTCGAAGATCTTATCATTAGTAAAAAGTCCTGTGGTTGCGGTTGTAACTGTAACTGATCCTTAAGCAGGCCCTCAACTTGGATGACTGGCTCGTCTTATCTAGCCGACGAAAGACAAGCAAACACTGGCCAGGACTACAACTGGGAAGGTTACTTGGAGCGTCCGACCGACGGCGGCGACTTCGAAAAGGCATGTCTCTTCATGCCAGGTCTGCCGGATCCCATTAAGGTGCAGTATTGACTATGGGTTGACGGTGCTTGGATTGCCGCTTCGGGTTGGAGGGCCAACGTGCTTCAACCCCCTCAGTCACACCATCCCAAAGCCCAGGCCCTACACCCCTGATCCCGAATCCTTAATCACTCAGTCCCCAAGCACCATATCCCAAAGCCCAGCATCCCTGGGTTTTTCGAGGGCTGGAGGTCCTTAAAACGCTGGACTTTGGATTACAAAAGCCCCGTTTCATGTGATGTAGCAATAGGACCAGATCATCGTCATCGTCATCATCATCATCATCATCATCATCATCACCGCCATCGGTCGCAGCTTCGATTCTTAAGCCACCCCTTGAAAGGTCTTCGTCGAGATTCGTTCAGGGAAGCAGCGGACTCAGCGAGGGTGTGTGGAGGGGAGAGGCAGGCGAATAGAGGGGCCTCGATAGATTACTTGTGTTTTTTTCCTGGGGCCCGAGTCTTCGGTTGTCTTCAAACTCTGAGTTAAGCTCTGGGACTCTTGAATCTCGTGATGTAGACCTTCCAGGTTTGGAATGCACGCCATCTTCAGTGTTTTCCAAACCGTCAATGTTGCGGTGGCTCTTCAGCCAAGGCTACGCGTCCTTCGCAGCCGAACCTCGCAGAGCTTGCTGAATGAGCGCGGAGCTAAGAGACCTTTTGGACGTCAACAACCCGTATAGTTGAGGATTTTAGGGCTCGCGGTTGGCTTGAGGGTTAAAGCGCTTGGACCGCCTGACCCAAGTCAGGTGCGTCATTAAGAGATGCACTTGGGACAGGAAATATGAGAACATGTCTGAGTTTCATGGAGGGCTGTTGCTCTGAACTGTGGCACCGCTGGGGGTTTTCATCCCAGTGGACACTTCGTTCACCTCTCGCTGCTGCTCCACCTGCTCGCCGGTTGCAACTACAACCAGTGCAACCACATTGGTCAGAGTCGGTTCCTCTTGCTCGCAATAACCCTTCTTCATAAGCTCAACTTCCCACCACATCTCTGGTCCGAGGTATTCGCTCAGCGCCCTTGCTGAGCCGGCCACCCTGCTCAAAAGCTGCCCGAGATCCTTCCAGGCGCCCGGCTGCTTTGCGCTGAATTTCATCGGGTTGGATACGTTGCTACAAGGTTACAAAGGGTACTCAAGTGCGATGTATGACTGGAGTTTCGTTCACGTTGGGGTTCGAATTTTGTAGACCTCAGACATGTAATTGCATACCGACAAACTCAGGTTGCAGCCATCCCGTTCAGGAAGTGCACCGGCGATAGGTGCTTGGGGGCAACCTGAGCCCTCAATTGTATCCGAGGTACTCTCCAGGATGTAGAATCTGAATATCTCAGCAAGACCTGGCGACATTCGAAGCTCCTGCTGTCCCCAACATGCTCCACAGCCAGGCTTATCCGATTCCACCCCAGCACAGGCAGCCCCTCGCTAGCCTCTTTGCTTTCCTCTCCCAGGCCTTTCGGCCGTAACCGTGGCTTAGCCTGGAACTCTCGTGAGCTCCGGAAGACTCTCCGCCGCCCCATTTCCCGTTTTACGGGTTTTCGCAAAAAACAGCTCATTCTGAACACGGCTTTTTGTTTTGTGTTCACTCGCAGCAAAGTTTGGTATTCGTGCTACTTTGACTGATTTTTTTTCCAGGCGGCTTGGCACACAGACTGCAGATTGTGGATATCATCGGACGCTTAGCAAACCTAAATTCGCAGACAAAGCCTGATTTCGGAGACCCGAGGCGACAACGTGTCTTTGAAGAAGCTTTCAAGACAGCTTCGTTTGATGCCTGATTCACGCTGCAAAGACACTGAGCTGAAACCTAAACTTCACAGCCCGATCCCGTGACCTTGAAGCCTATACCCCCAAACCCCAATCTCATCCAACCCGTTGGTTGCTGAACTTATCAGTCCTGCGGCCCTGAACGCCAAACCGAATTTTCAAACCAGCCCAAACTCCCAACCCAAATCTCGTAACAGGTCAGGCTGCCAGAGGCCGCACGTTTCCGCTGCGTCTCGGAGCGTCGGGCTTCGCAGTGGGTGGAGGTGCTGCGGATCTACGATGTTTGCAGAGGGTCCGAAGTTTGTTTTGAGCTTCGGCTAGTGCATTACCAAACCTGTGAAGTAGTGTTACTGCTCTTAGACATACTGATTGCTATTGTGAGTTCGGTGCCTGCGTTGTGATTTCAGCAGGCAAAGAGCTTACCAGCACGATTCAGGGACTTGGGCGCAGGGTTTTTGGTGTCAGGGCTTGCGGTGTAAAGGTTCGACTCGAGGATGCCCACTTAGATCCCATTTCCCACAAGCCCTGTCAAGGGTCCGAGTCGCCAAGAGATCGGTTGTGGATTTTCAATTTCAGGGACTCTAGGGTAATGGGTTTGGGGGTGTTGTTTCGTGCGCTTGTGTTCGTGTGTTCAGGAAGCAGGACATGTGGACTGCACTACGCTGCATGAAACCGAAAGTCGAAATCAGTTTTCACAGCAAACTGGCAGGTGTGGCTGTGTGAATTTTTCCCGGCCTAGGTGCCCATAACAAAACCACCACGCCTGAACGGACGAGCACGAAATTTGGACTGCATGCTGTGCAAACTTTTAGGGCTATCACAGGAAAATACCAAATCGCAAATGACGGACTCCTCCATCCCAGACTCAAAAGCGAAACTCCCACAGGTCCAATTTTACCAATCCTTCGAAACCCAGAAAACTTCGGTTGAAACAGCCACCCATCCTTCAGGCAGTCAACAGTGCCTGGCGGCATGTTTCAGGCTCTGGTAAGACTTCTCAGACGAAAGCCGCATAAGACAAAAAGGTGTTGCTGTGAGATGTGCCTCTGAGGCGGTTTGAGGTCTGACTCATTGCAGCACGAGGCTTGCATCTGGTATTCAACCCCCACTGCAGTGATATATGGCACACTCGGCCCGATCTGAAAGATAGCAGTGGTACTTGTGGTAGTATGTGTAGTAATATGTAGCAGCATGTAGCAGTATGTTGTAGTATGTAGTAGTTTGTAGCAGCATATAGAAGTATGTAGTAGTATGGAGTAGTATGTACTTAGCAGTAGCGAGTAGTATGTAGTATGTAGTAGTTAGGAGTAGTATGGAGCAGTAGCTGTAGAGGTAGGAGTAGCAGTACCAGCAGCATGAGGAGGAGGAGGAGTAATAGTTGTTGTAGTTGTACTCGTAGTTGTAAGTACTCGTAGTAACTAGTAGTCGTAGTAACAGTAGTAGTACAGTAGTAGTAGTAGTAGTAACAGTAGTAGTACAGTAGTAGTAGTACTAGTACTAGTAGTGGTAGTAGTCGTAGTAGTAGTAGAGGTGGTAGTGGTAACTGGTAAGTGCTAACTCTTGGTTAGCAACTAGCATGTATTGTTGTAGTAGTAGTCGTCGTCGTTCTCGTCGTAGTAGAAGCATCAGCATCCGGAGTTGTTGTTATGGTTCGAAACACCACCTCTGCAAAGCAAACTCAATAGTCAAAGTGTGCACATGCTTTTGCACTCGTTAGTGGCTCTCACATCCTTGGAGCTTTCATAGAGCTTGTAATCTCCATTTCCCGCCAGCTGCATGAGGATATTGCAGTGACGAGACCAATTTAGCATTGGTACCATCTTTCGCTGATTGAAAGCTTGCCTGCTACCTGTTGCCGAAACCCCTGAGACCCCCGAACGTGTGCTTCCTGCACATCAGCATACTGTCGTGCCGCATCTTCGACACAGGATTTCGGGTTCAGGAACAAAAATCAGCATGCTTTCTGTCAGGTGTGTGGATCTGGTTCTCTAAACGCCTGAGATACATCCGAAGAATTCAGTCCTAATCCCTGTGCCCCAGGCCCTGTGTGTTGAAGGAGCATATCGGGTCGGTCCATCCTGAAGTTCGCCTGGGCCATTTCGTGCTTTCAAGCTGGGGTTTAGGACATGATTCGGTTCAGGGTGTGGCGTTTAAAGCTAACAGGAGAGTTTCACCAGAAAGGAGTAGGGGTTCGGTTGTCGCTGCACGTTTTCGCGACGATGGACGATGGATTTGTGCAGCACGTTAGTTTGCAAATTAAATTACAATTGCAGTATGTAGACATCTTAAGCACCTTAGTATTGATGAAGTTGTCATCAACCGCTGTGAGGGTGTTCTTGGCGCATGTGCCATCATCCATGATGCGGATCATTTGCCCGAATTGTGGTGAGGAGCCACAGAAGGGCGACTGGGCTTGAATTTTGGTTTTGTTGTTGTTGTGGCAATGTCTATAAGCCTTGCTGCCGCTACTGCAGCCTTGTACAGTGAGTGTCAGACCAGTACTTTCACGAACTGATAATTGCACAGCAAGTTAAGCTTGATCACAATTTGTACTGGCTGTAGTCTTTCGGTATATGATGATGCAGATGGTGATGATGAGGAGGAGGACGAGGAGAAGCGGATGAGCATGAACAGCGGGATGATGAGAATGACGAAGACGAAGAGGAGGATGAGGATGATGAAGTTGATGAAACATGGTGATGGAGTTGTTGACGGTGATGATGAGGACGATGATGATGACGAAGATAAAGATGGGATGAAGACCACCATGACGAAGACCGTAACGATGATGATGATGGTGATGATGAGGATGATGATGATGATTATGATGATGATGACGATGATGATGGTGATGGTGATGGTGATGGTGATGGTGATGACGACGATTCAGCCAGGTCAGCGGCATGTCTGCAAGACAGACGATGCAAGCTTGGGGTTGGAGGCCGTCGGCGATGGCCCTGTCGGGCCCCTGCTGCAGAGGAGCCTTGCCCGACGTAACATCTGCATGCCGACGATCCTTACCGTCAGCGCTACATCCACATTCCAATCCTCATGCTCTGGATCCTGAGCCCCGCCCAATATGCAGCTCCGCCTGAGCCAGTTCAGTGCAGGAGCCAAGTGGCGGCAAAGAGCCAGCGACGGACGGTTCCCTGTGCGACAGCCAGCTCCATGTGTGCTTCCATCGCATCGCTGGCATCGAAAAATCCGGGGCTCTGGAAGTCCAGCCGGACGCTGGCCAGGTGCGGGGAATTCAGCTTTCGACGAAAAGCAACACCACCGTCACTACCACTACTATAGTCGTCATCATAATTGCGCTCGCACCACCAGCACCAGCACCACACTCACCGTCGTGGTAGTCATTATCAAGATTACGTAGGCAGCAAAGTGCGAGCTTCGGTAGCTTCGTCAGATGCAGTCCCCAGATGTGGTGGTGAAGACTTCGTGGCAGCCCTCATTTTCACTGCAGCGGGGCTGCCGACCTGGAGCCGCGATCCCAAGCGCACGTTGCTCGCTGCTTTGTGTGGCAATGTGGCCCATGAGGCTAGACAGTACATTATAGTTCAATGGAATTGCGCAGTATAGTATGGAAAAGTATGGCTCAGTAAGGTATAGTATACTGAGGTCTAGACAGTCTAGTCTAGCCTAGTATGATTTTGTGATATGCTCTCTTGTCTGCTCTATAATATTTATACAATATATATATATATATATAAAAATTCCAAGTTCGCTCACATTTCCTTGTGTTTTTGGGCCCCTGCCTTGAAAGGCCGCCAAAGCGCTGCAGAGCTTCTGGCGCCAAAGCCGCCGCACCGTTTCTGTCTACCAGCCTCGACCCCCCAAAGAGCCGGCAAACGGCTGCTTTGCTTCATTCGACGCCGAATCGTGCTTTCTTTACAGCGGTTTGAAGTATCGCCTCCAACCATCTGAGAACTGGTGAGAAGGGGTATTCTGACTGCTGTTGGACCTGGTTTGAAACATCGGCCTCTTACGAAGCCTCTCGAGCGCAGTATCTCCCCTCAGTGCCACTGCTGATGCTGAGACGCCGCTGCCGCCACAAGTGCCTAAGCATCTGCTCTAATGCGCTCTTTTGTTTGCAGTCTGGAGTCTAGACCCCTTGGAACGGCTTTAAACGGCTTTCGCCGTTGTATGCGTTTCTCAAAAGAAACTCTTGAGAGGTGAGTTCCCCATGCAGAAACAGCGCCCAAGCCTTGTTGTTCAAGGACTGGGTACAGTACTTGGTTGTGTCGACACACTTCACAAGTAACACGCAGCTACACCGGTCAACAGGGACCTTGGTTTGGCGTGTCATTAACTGCTAGTGTTGCTTGTGCTGGCACTGGCGGCGAATTGCAGATTTTGCAGTCTTCGCCACGTGCGGCTCCTCCTGCTGCTGGTACTGCTGTTGATGTTCTTATTACTGTCGTCCCCACTGCTGCAGTCGTCCTCACTTCTCCCTCATCGTTGTCCTAGTTCGCACTGCCGTCATCGCCATCATCATCATCATCATCATCATCGAGCTGAGGCTACAGCCCCTACCGCGTGGACAAGGCCTCCACGCACCATGGGAGCTTCCCCACTCCCAAGGCCTCGCCGAAGGTTTATTTCCAGGCCGGCAACGCATGAGCTTCCGTTTCGGGCTTCACATGTCTTTACGATATGTTTTGTGTTTCGGGTTTAATGCGCTTGCAGCGGATTTGCTCGGGCAAGGGTTGCGAGGAGTTGGAACCTGGAAACCTTGTGGTAGGAGGTTGAATCGTGGCATCCCTTACCCCTAAGCCTGGCTTTGCAAAAACCGAGAAGATCGGACATCCCATGCTCGGAGTGCCCTGCACCTGAAAGGCCCTACTGGTTCAGGAGCCCCAGAGCCCCAGACGGCTCACATACTTGTAGGAGGCAGACGAAGGGTTCTTCCCTGAAGGAGGGCGAGGCGCGCCGCGGATGGGGGCAACAAAGCGTTGGCAGTGCCCCTGGGTTGGGATTTAGGATGTTGTTATGTTTTTCGGAGTTGTATAGGTTCAAGACTTTCTGATCAGTTAGGATTCAGGAATGTTAGGCATGTCGGGTCGCCTCGGCCAATACATCTTGGAAGTTGAGGGTGTATGCTCGATGGTTCGGCGGGATGGCTCCAAGCTTTGTTCACGCTTGCACGCTTGCTTACCTTGTTGGATCTTGTTGGCAAAAGGCGGAGCAATGCCCGGCTGCTCTCGAATGTCACGCGTGTTTGAAACGCTGTACCCGGTCGGGGAATCACGACTGTATGTTGGAACCGACTTAATCTCGCACCACAGCCGTAAACAGGCTGTCGCAAGCCACCCGACCAATGAGATGATAGGACGGAATCAAACCTAGCCAATCGTGTTAAGTCGAGAACCATCTAGAATGCATATCGAAAGACAACGTGATCGGCAAAAGCAACTAATATCTGACTCAACCTTCTAGCCGCTTCTTGTGCTAGCAATGAAGACTCAAACCAGCTGCTGTCACAAACGACTGTACGAGCACAGACGTATGCGGATGGGTATGCGTATGTATGACTGCATGTCTGTATGTATGTATGAATGTATGTCTGTATGCATAGAGTATGTATATCTGTGTTCGTCTGTCTGTCTGCATGCGTGCAAGCATGCATGCACGCATGGCTGTATGCATGTATGTATGCATGCAAGGGGTGTATAGAAGGTAATGCAATGTAGATCTGTATGCACGTATGTACGTTTCTATTTATGCATGTATGTATGTATGGGTATGTGTATTGGTATGTGTGTAGATATGCTTCTATGTATGCACCTACATACGTTGTTCTCATATCGTACGTACTACAAGTAACAGCATATTGTGTCAGTGATGGTCAGCGTTGTAGTCTTGGTGCCGTGAGGACTACTGCACAAAAATGCTAGAGCAGGTAGGGTCACAAGTTGTGCATTAGCGTTGTGACAACTGCAAAAGAATGATATGGTATTTTGTTAGGCACAGAAGTCTTCAGAAGTAGAACATTTCGAGAGTGCTAATTATCTTGTATAGTGCTCCGAGTATGTAGATGAAAAAAGCAACATCTTAGCCATGACAGGACAGTCGAAAGACGACATCCTTACCATAGTAGCAGCGTGCTAGTATGACCATGCCGCAATCAAAATGCCTGCAACATCATTCCCGTGTGCTCAAATTTGAATATACAAATACCGCTATATACGGTGCGTGTGTGTTGACGTATGTACGCATGTAATATATATATATATGTGTATTATATCTTCACACCATCTTTATATATATATATATATGTA